TAACGTATGCTGTTTATATTATTTTTTAATTTAACGCAAAGTCGCGAGCAACAGCTCGTCTTAAACAAATTAAAAGAGGTTATAGTTCCGAACCCCTTTTTAAACATTTACTACTAGCTTTCGCCCGAGACTCCGTCCGCGTGGAATTGAAATAAACAAAAGTGAGTAGCATATGTGTTCTTCCAGACTATCATCTACCAATTTAATCGAAATCTGTTCAGCCGTTTAGGCTACAAACTCTAACAAACATCCATTCATCCATCTAAACTTTCGCATTTATAATATTAGTAAGAGTATGATAAGCAGGGCCGTATTATTGGGCGCCCGGGAGCGTATATTTTATTGGCTGGCACCCCCGAAGACTTAGCACCCGGCGCCCCTTACAACCCTGGGTTAATACGACCCTGACTATAAGATAATAATTAAGTACATTTGTCACTAGCACATGTTTTTTTTTGATAATCCAGATAAGATTAACCTTATTATCGAAATAGTTGATTAAGTATGCACTTTACATTTTCAACACTAACAACTGATTGGCAGGTCGCGCGGATTATACACGTTTTTTTAATTATAATGATAGTTTTTAATATATTAATTTTATTTTCATAGTTAAAAAAATTAACCAATTCTGAGTCTTAAGTTACGGAGTGTGTTTAAATTTCGTTGGTAAGTTAATCTTTATGTTTATCATATTTATATTATAAATGCGAAAGTTTAGATGGATGGATGTTTGTTAGAGTTTGTAGCCTAAACGGATGAACTGATTTCTATGAAATTTGGTATGGATGTAGAGGACATTGTGGAAAAACACATAGGGTATACTATATGGCATTTTTTTTAATTTTGGACGGAGTCGCGGGCGAAAGCTAGTAATTTATATTGTAGTGTTTAATAATTAAATTTTTATCCAATACTCGAAAATCTTTTTAATCTTAAATTTCTCTAATTTAATTGGTTCTGCTTGACCTCGATTTTATATAAAAGGGATGGTTAAATTATACAGTCGTTGTAAAAGATGCCAATAGTGACCAAATTCCGAAATATTTACATGAGTACGTAGTTAGTAGCATAAAGGTAACCTTTTTCGCCTTTTTTTAAAAATAAGAGAGTCTCATTTTGATAAATTCACAATTCTAGTATGTAAATGTTCTAGTTTAAAATTTCCCGTTGCCACAATTCTTTTTTCTATTTCCTACTCAACCCCTGACACTTCTATTCATGTAATTGTGTTAAGTTATACAATTACCACCTTACTAATATTATAAATGCGAAAGTTTAGATGGATAGATGGATGGATGGATGTATGTTAGAGTTTGTAGCCAAAACGGTTGAACGGATTTTGATGAAATTTGGTATAGATGTAGAGTCTGTCTGGAAGAATACATAGGCTACTTACTTTTGGTTTTTTATCCCACGCGGACGGAGTCGCCGGCGACAGCTAGTTGTACAATAATTGTTGTATATTTATGTATGTAAAAAAATCTGTCCGTCCGTCATATTCCCATGACCTCTAGTAATAGTAGTGTGATTATTAATTTTAATCAGATTATAAGTATGACCTTGAATTTAATTAGTACATTCGGAATGTAGATTACCTTTATCTAGCCCTAGGTTGCGTTATTATTCATTTGTTTTTATTTTATATCTGATATAAGCGACAAACTATCATTTTACACGGATTTCAGGGAACCTTGACCATTGATTCGTTTTTAGTTACCAACTGCTTGTATACTTAAGAAGACAGCGATGTTTTTTTATTAAAATACGAAGAATTAGAGTCAACTGATAATAACATTCCAATCAATATAATCTCTGAAAGGATCAGCACAAAACTAAACTCAGAAAATGGCGATTCCTTTAGCGGGTAAAATAATTATACCAATATTGGTACTTGCTGTAATCGGTGGCATGGTGGCACTTATAGTGGTGATTGTGAACGACCAGAATGATAACACGGAGACCACTGTACTACCGCCCCCTACATCACCATCTACGACACCCTCTACAAGTGCTACAGAAACTACTACAAGTAGTGCTACGCCGGATACAACTACGGAAGGACCAATCGCCAAGGAAATTCTTTACCAAGTCGGTGTAGGCATCGCTGATATGACAGGACCTTGTGTAGAGGTCAATTTTGTAAGTATTTATAGATATCTGATGTAATTCATTAACACGTTCAATGCCAAGTGTACAGTGCCATAGTATATGGTCGAATATACCGTACCGTCCAGGGATGGGAGAACAGACAGACGGTGTCGTGATTTTATTTATTCGGAATTCTTCGGAATTCCTCGGAAATTTATTTATTTTTCTAAAATAAGTAAAGTTCGTTAAAAATATGGAACCGCCAACACTAAATTAAAAATAAATAAAACATTTAAAATATATGGCCACAGTACACACATTACAAAAAGGCCTACAAAGATGCATCTTGCATTTTCCCATCTTGCGATTCGCATTGAATGTAAATTATTCTACGAGTCTATAACTATTCTGTAAATAACCATATCAGAGATAATGAATATAATATTAAACTATGAATTACTAGAATAACAATCATCAGTTTCCAGTAACTAACGAATTGTAATAATAATAATGGACCCTTGGGAAAATTTCATGTCTTTACAACAAGAAGATTTCTGATGAGAGGCACTATAGGCATTACATTCCTTTATCACCCAAGTTCTTTATGTCCCATACACATCATTATGTAATTCACATTGTTCCTGTCTTCTCTGTCCATCAATCATGGTCTTCTAGATGGGATACGCGGAGATTGGGCAGTCGGGTCGCGGTATTCACACGCGGCAATTCTCCCGCGCCTTCCTCTTCGTGCAGGGTGACACCAGGATAGTGCTTGTCACTGCTGATGTACTCGCGATCGGCATTGGTGTTAGACGAGAGGTGAGTTTGGAAATACAACATATGAAACCTAGAATCAAATTTTCAATTTCAATTCGAAATAGTAAGAGCGCGCGGACACCTTGGACTAAACTACCGCACAATTACATGTTTCCCTTTGGTTCATATAAGCTTATATGGTGATGCGCATACTACTCGATATTTAGTTGTGCAACTAAATAGTATGGGCGACGAAACAATCGACAATCGCACATCAGTTGTGCGATAATTTATTCAAAAGTTTGCGCCCGTTCTAACTCTGAAGATAATCTCTTAACATAAACTGTTCAGAATTAGAACTCTTAGTTTCTGATAGAAGAACTTGAATTTTCAACAATTCTAATTATGAATATGTTATCCAGGTGGTGAAGAATCTCCAGGAGTTGTACGGGGACATGTACTCGCTGAACAACGTGATACTGACGGGTACGCACACACACAGCGCTCCTGGCGGACATCTAGTAGATCTGCTATTAGACATCACCATCTTAGGCTTCTCCCGCGAGAGTTACAACGCGTACGTCGCTGGAATCACCAGGGTGGGTACCTTCTAATCCTTAAAAAATAGACTGATGGACAGTAAGATTGTATTAACTAATTAAATCTATGATTATGTGTCTTTGGCGTCTTAATAAAAACCAGTTCAGCACAATAAACAACACATCCGTTAAAAGACTAGTTATCTTTTATCGCTTGTCTGTCTGATGCAGAGTATAGTGCGTGCGCATGAGAACATAGTGCCGGCGCGGCTGTTCTTTGGGCAGACTCGAGTACCAGGCGTGCAGAAGAACCGCTCACCTTTCTCTTACGAAAACAATCCTGCTGAGGAGAGGGAACGGTAAATAACTCTAAGAAGAAGAATTAAATTGATTCAACTTATTTTTTTATTAAGAAATCCACTATTATATCAGTCTCTTCTTGATAGAAGATGAAAGAACTAAAGTTATATTTATAAGAAATTATAAATACCTTTAGTGCATATTCTAGCAGTATAAATTTCTTGCAGTTACGATGGGAACACAGACGCAGTATTGACGCAAATTCGTATAGAGCGAGAAGATGGCAGTGTACACGGCGCGCTTACCTGGTTCCCGCTGCACGCCACCAGTATGAACATGACCAACCGTCTCATCTCCGCAGACAATCTGGGTTATGCGGCTGTTCGCTTGGAGAAGGAACTCAATACTATGTACCCTAGTCGACGGGTGAGACGAAGATAGTTTTAATGACATTATATAATAGTAAAGTGTATTCATGAAATGCGTAGTCGAAATTCGAACTTAACGTTTGAGTTAAATACAAATTGTCTTGTCAATTCTTTCCTCTTTCTTGTTTTTTCTTTTTTATATTTTTAAATGCTTTAAAAACAAGCTTGCTATGGAGTCTTGTATTATTCTTCCTCGATGCATTCCAGCCAATTGTAGCCGGATTCTTCCCCGCGAACCTCGGCGACGTTTCGCCCAATATTCAGGAAGCACGCTGTGAGTTCAGCGGCAAGATATGCGATAACCAGTTCGTGTTATGTGATCGTATGGAGCGCTGCTTTGCCGGCGGACCCGGCAAGGACATGTATGAGAGTACGAAGATCATTGGTACAACTGTGTTTGAAGCTGCTTTGGTAAGGACCGTCAATGAACCACACTATAGAACGTCCATACCATCTCGATGGTTGGCATTCTACAACCGTTGCGAAACTTTTGCTTTGCACAGCCTTGTTGTGGTATGGTCTTTCCTCAGTGGTATTTACAAACCCATACGACTGAGGGAGGACCCTAACCTTAAAAGATCAAGAAGCGAAAGTATCGTTACTTCCAAAGCAGGCAATGCATATATAGTTTTGCTGGAGGATGTTTATGGGAGACGATAATTAGCAACAGTAGACATTCTACTGTATGAATAACCAAATGTAAATAATCGTTTTGTTTTCTATTCTAGGAGGTATTGAGGAGTGGTGGTACAGAGCTAAAAGGTGATTTAGCAGTAACGCATCAGTTTATCGACATGCCGCAAGAGGTCGTGCCGAAATACGACCCTGTTAATAGAAGATTTATTACTGCAAGTGTTTATTTTCTTTTCTATTTAAATTTATAAACTAGAATGGCTACTAGTTAATAATTTTTCTTGATGTAGAACGAGCCAGTGAGTGGTTGTAAGCCAGCGCTGGGATACAGCTTCGGATCCGGGACAACAGATGGCGCTAATGTGTTTAACATAACACAGGTAACTTTAAGGCACAGAACACATAAAAAGTAAACAGTGTCTTATGTATTTTACTAGTAAAAAACATTAAAAATCCTTTACTTATTGCTTGTTGATGATATAGTTAATAGTTTTATCTTGTCAGGGCACACTGACAGGCAATCCGGAACTAGACGGACTGTTAGGAGCTATCATGAGTCCAACCTTGGAAGACATCAAGTGTCATGCGCCTAAACCCATCTTACTTGCTACGGCAAGGGTAAGTAACAGACTCTTAGAATTACAATTAAAAATATATCTTTGACTATAAATTCTTACTTTATACTAATACTGGCTTTTGCCCGCGACTCCGTCCATGTGGTATTTAAAAAAAACAAAAACAAGTACCCTATATGTTCTTCCAGACTATCCTCTACATCTATATCAAATTTTATTGAAACCCGTGCAGTAGTTTAGGCTACGAACTAACAAACATCCATCCATCTAATCTTTCACATTTTATTCATGATTTTATTCAACGTGGACGGAATCGCGGGCGTAAGGTAGTAACTATTTATTTTAATTATGATTATTGAGTTAAATTGATTGTTTCCAGGCGAATTCCACAATCCCGTGGCACACACAGATAGTATCAGCAACAGTGATCTGGCTGGGAGGGTTTGCGGTGGCGGGTGTGCCGGGGGAACCCACCACTATGTCTGGCAGGAGGATTCGTGACGTAATCGGTGACGTCATGCGCGCCCGCGGATACCAACCCAGGGTCGAAGTCGCCGGGCTCACTAATGAATATATACATTATGTCAGCACTTTTGAAGAATATCAGGTATGTAAATAGATTACTTTAAATTGGTTTTTGTGTCGAAGTCCTCAGTTGCAATTTAAACTCATATGAAAGCAGACCAACTAGCGTTGGAGGACGAAAACCCGGTGCGCCGACCCTACGGGAGTAGGATTAGGCAGGGGAGATGATGATGATGATGAAAGCAGATCAACAAACCACTGCCTTATAATTATCAAAAATCTCACCTTAACCTGTCTTGGTAGGAAGGCGTCGACAGAGCTGGACAGGGGGGAAGGTGGCTTCCCCAGCAACCGACTATTAAGATAAATTAATCAAGAATACAACGTTTCTTGGAATAAAAAAGTTTTCTCTTGCCCCTCGATCTATTCCACCTATATCATCGGCTGGCGACACATTTTATTATGGAACTATTATGAACTTGTATCAATAACTTCACTAAACATTTTGTAATAGGTACAAAGGTACGAAGCCGCGTCTACGCTGTACGGACCTCACACACTCGAGATTCTACTCAACAAGTTCGCTGAATTAACCGCAGCTGCTATTGATGTAAGTGGTACTACGAACACTTTTTATGTAGAACTTTTTAAACATACATCGTCCGCATTTATTTAGCCTTTTCAAATTGACGAAATCTATATTGTAACTTACAAAATAACGCCTGTTTGAACCGTTAAGTTATTAGTTCAGGTAAAATTCTGTCAGTTGTACTGTACAGTTAGATTTTTAGAACTGTGCGTCAGTAAATAGTAAATAAAAGACAATTAGTTAATTTTAAATTATTTATTTCTCTAAAAAATTACACAAAAACACTTCTCAAATGGAATAAAACATTATCCCAGGGCGGCGTTGTACCTCCCGGTCCAGAGCCAGAAGACCATAGAGGGAACGCGTCCTCTCTGCTTCCGCCCGTCATTCTGGACGCCACGCCCATCGGCAGGAATTTTGGTGACGTTCTGATATCCCCTCCTACTACCGTCAGAGTAGGAGACGTTGTTAGCGTCACTTTCGTAAGTAATTCAATCCCAAATACTATCAATAAAAATAAGTGTTGCCTGCGATATTTTCTATGTGAAATTTAAAAATGTAGCCTAGTTTACTTAGCTATAACGAATCCTTTTAATGGTGAAAGAATTGTTGAAATCTGCCCAGTGTTTTTTGAGTTATTCAACACATACAAAAAAATAAATCTTATCTCTTATTATTATTGTATGTTTTGCATCATAATGTCGTGAAAATTAACAACTAAGTTTTTTATAATACAATTCAATTTTCAATGTATTTATGATCCATGATTGCGAATTCTTTTTTAAAATATCATTTTTATTTCATTCAGGTCGCTGCCAACCCACGTAACGACATCCGACAGGAGTCGTCTCACGCGGACGTGGAGAGATACGAGGAAGGGGAATGGTTCACCGTCGCTACTGACGCAGACTGGGAGACTAGGTAAGTTTGTACACTACCAATTTGACAGGAGACGCGATGCAAAGACAGTCAGATGCTTCCGTAAGTCTTCTTCGTCCAGTTTAGGCAATATTTCTGCAACTTCTTAAATTTTTCACACATGACTAGTTACTTTACATTACGAGATAATTTTAATAAGGACTCCGAAGTTTCATTCATTTATTCCAGATTTTTTTGTTTCCCCTTGTATGTTAGGTTAGTTTACATTAATTGTATCATTATCTAGTGATTGGTTTGTTAGTTTGACGTAAGTTTTAACGAGTAAAACTCAAGTTAGGTGGTTCGGAAACGCAATTCATGAAGCTAAGCAAATACACTAACGAATGGTTAAATGTAACTGGGAAACTGAGCATAAGATTTGTAAATTCAAAATTATGTTACGTTATGCCTTTATATTCGTGGGCCGGAGGCCTGATTTTAGTTCCTTTTCCTATTCACTGTTTTCTTAACAGGAAAGGATGGGAAGGATAAGTAGATTTGAGGGTGTATGAGACGCATAGGTAGGTGAAATAACCTGTATGTGTGCGTCTCTTCCTCCGTCCATTAGGGGTAGGCAACGCATCTGCGGATGTCTGGGCAGCGGTCGTTTCGTCATTTCGTCGTACTCTGGGGGCTTGCTCGTTTGCCACCTTATAATAAAAAAAATCCATTTCAGGTTCCATTGGGAGCGTGTTTCAACAATATTTGGCACCAGCAGAGTGCGGTACGAGTGGCACGTGCCCGCCGGCACCGCACCCGGCACTTACCGCATCGTGTATCGCGGCGCTTGGCGGAGTATTGCAGGCTTCATTACACAGTTCACAGGGGCCACCAATACATTCACAGTTCAAAGTTAATTTGTATAAATTTAGATTAATTGTACCTGCTAGTTAATTAAATGTTAGAAATTAAACGTTTCTTTTTTTATTTTAATTCTTTTCGGAGTACATTAATACTGAATATGGTGTTTAAATGGGATCCTGTGGCTGATATACCTACGTCATATTATAAATGCGAAAGTTTAGATGGAAGGATGTTTGTTAAAGTTTGTAGCGTAAACTGCTGAACGGATCTAGGTGAAATTTGCCATAGATGTAGAGGATAGTCTGGAAAATCACATAGGCATACTTTTTTTCGTAGAGATCGCAGGATAAAATTAGTTAAAATCAGAAGGATTACGTGTTAAAAACAATGTAATATATGGCAACAAAGAATCTGAGAATCCAAGGTTATAAAGCAAATGGCGGATTGAACTGGATTAACCGAGACCGCAAATAGAACTTCCGTCGTCGGACTGAGTAATTTATTCTTTGGTGATAGTGATGTAACTACGTAATAAATAATGAATAGTTAGTATGAGGAGTGGATCCAAAGTGTACATTAGAGGAATTTCAACATCTTCCTTATCCTACTCCCGTAGGGTGCGACTGGTTTTTGTCTTCCAAATAACTATCATACGTCATCACAGTCACTCCCTTCTTGATCATGTCACCTGTCACGCAATCCATGTCTTTTTAGATGCAACTAAACCAACTTGAAATTTTTTTTAAAAATTCTTGCTAGATCTTGTGTTACGATATCATTTATGTTTCCAATACAGAAGATATATGAAAAAACTTAGTGTTATCCCAAAATTTTCAAATAGATTGAAATAGAAGATAATGTTTAAAAAAAACTAATATTTTCACTTTTATTTAAACCTGTATCTCTAGTACATCCTTAGTACATCACCTAATGTTAGATACAAACAGAAGACCAACCTGAAAGTAAACTTAATCTAAATAGAATAAGGTGCATATTTCAATATCTGTTTTCTTTGAGTTCCTTTTACATGCTTCGAAGATTAGTATCACGTTTGAATTAGCTAGAGAAGTGCTTCAAATAGTAAAACGAAATCGTGTCTAACAGTTGGAACAAGTTAAAAATATGTAATATTTAATGGTCCTAAGTGAGGGAAAACCTCAAGTAAAAAGGTGTGTGCAAATAAAGATAAGAATTTTGTTATTACAGTTTAAAATAATATCTATTATGGTTTGAATACCGGAGTCGACCGTATCCAGTGAGTACCAGTTATGTAAATATTTAGACAATCAACGAATGTTGTGTATAATATGAACTATATTATACTAATGTTACAAATGCGAAAAAGATGGATAGATTTAGTTGGAGTGTATAACCTAAACTGTTGAAAGATGTAGAGGATATACTGGAAGAACACAATATTAACTTTTTAAATCCACGGGAACGGAGTTGCGGCAGAAAGCTAGTTTTTAATCATACTGGAAAGTGGAAAGGTATACCTAGAAATTGCAGATTAAAAGTAGACTTTTAACTAATGTGTTTAGTAATATAAATAAACCAATAAATTTAGTAGACGATTACATTTTATGCGTTATGTAAATACTTACATAAATTTTGATAACGCATTTTTTATCAGCATGTCAATACGGCTGTTTTATTTTTAATCATAGGTCATCTCCAAACTAATAAACAGCCCGTAATGCGATAAGATTGTGTTCGAAACATAAATGTTATCTTAAGATTCATTCTTGTTTCTGCAACGAACGGTTTCGTGGCGGCAATAATTATCTGTGGTTAAAAAAAGTTATGTATTAAATTGTTATTGAACTTGGGATATAATTAATTATTAAGGTAACTAAATAAATTAAATGTAGTTTTTCGTTTGCGAATTCTGTTTTCTAAAATTGTCGTATACAATTATTTTTGTGTTGATGTTTTTATGTTGATTGTAATTCAGCAAACACTTTCCTGTATTTATGCTATAAAATCCTACTAAGCAAAAGTTCTGTTATTTTGTACAGTCTCAGATAATAAAGAAGCGGAATATAAAGTTAAATTTTTAAATAACTTAGGGTAGATGTGATTTGTGAGTGATAAAACGCTCTTCCAGAGTTGAACCATGGCGAGTCGGCCAATAACTAAAAAGGTGATTAATTCTCCGGAGACGTGTGTCGACGACAACCTGCGCGGCGTGGTTGCTGTCTACCCCGCACTCAAACTGCATCCTAAACACCGCGTCGTCACTGTCAGGACCAAGGTAATTTAATTACTGAGACACGATTGTATTGGATACAATGTTGGAATTGAGATTCTTTTTTTTACCACGCAATAAAACGACATTAAAACTATATTTAGAAAACAGCTCGCTTGGGTTTGCCACTGATTTTCTGTGCAGTTTATGCAGAAATGCTAACAACCATTATTACAATTATTTTCAGAGTGATACGGGAAGAGTGGCTGTACTCGGCGGCGGGGGATCCGGACATGAACCTTTTGCTTCTGGTTAGTTAAAAAAAAATATTAGACTTTAAAGAAATCGTTCAAAACATTCATCATCAGTTAAAAGAAATCACTTTTTATTTGGTTATAGCAATTGCTGTTCCTACACATCACATTTCAAACATAATTTGATAACTAAATGCTGACCTCATCAGGTTTTGTGGGTCATGGTATGCTGGACGGCGCGGTAGCGGGCGGTGTGTTCGCCTCGCCTCCAACCGGACACGTCCTGTACGGTATTGCACACCTCTACAAATATAACTCAGGTATATAAGTGCTAAAACAATAGAATAAACCTTTTTTTTATAAATTAGGTGGCAAACGAGCAAGCGGCCACCTGAATCCGCCAAAATGGCGAAGCGACCGCTGCCCATAGACATTCGCAATTGCAGATGCGTTGCCTACCCT